AATCCCACTTCTGGGCATATACCCAGACAAAGCTATAATTCGAAAAGATACATGCACCCCTATGTTCACAGCAGCACTATTTACTATAGCCAAGACATGGAAACAACCTAAATATCCATCAACAGATAAATGGATAAAGTAGATGTGGTATATATAAACAATGGAATGCTACTTAGCCAGAAAAAGAGTGAAATAATGCCATTTGCAGCAACAGATGGACCTAGAGATTATCATACTAAGTGAAGGAAGTCAGAAAGAGAAAGACAAATACCATATGATATCACTTATATGTGGAATCTAAAATATGACACAAATGAACCTAGCTATGAAACAGTAACGAACTCGCAGACATAGAGAACAGACTTGCGGTTGCCAAGGGGGAGGTGAGGCGGGGGAGGGATGGATTGGGAGTTTGGGATTAGCAGATGCAAACTATTACATATAGGATGGATAAACAACAAGGTCCTACTGTATAGCACAGGGAACTATATTCAATATCCGGTGATGAACCATAATGGAAAAGAATATGAAAAAGAATGTATATATATGTATATGTAGAACTGAATCACTTTGCTGTACAGCAGGAAACACAACATTGTAAATCAACTATACTGCAATTAAAAAAAAAAAAAAGAGCTGGTGGGATGCAGGTCCACCTACCCAGACGGACTTGCATTGTCTGGAGAGCAGGCCCCGAGCGCCTGCGGTGATAGCTGGTTTGGGGGGTTGGGTTCCAGGGGCCTGGAAGAGGGGTGAATGGGGTGGGTGTCCCCAGGCTGTTTACCAACCAGCACCACAGAGTGTTTCACTACTTTAACTGTGACCCTCTCGTCAAGTGCTGACGTCAGAGGTCCCTGCCCCACCCTGGGGGTGGGGGGAGGCATGCTCCTGTGGTCCCATCCTACGTCATCCTCGCTTGGTCCCAAACCACTCCTCGCCTAGCAGCACCTGGGAAGCCCAAGTAATGATCCAGGCTCCCTCTGCTTGGTTGGTCTCAAGCTGACCCCTAGGGGACAGCTGGGGCACAGCAGGGCCCTGAGGACTGAGCCTGCAGGATGAGGACGTGCCCCAGGCAGAGGCCCCCTCAGCTCCCCGCAACCTGAGGAGCTATGGTCTCGCCCCTCGTGGCCTTTAGCCAAATGGAACCCAGAGCGGCCCAGAGCTGCCCAGACGGTGCAGGAGCCTGAGCAGGGAGGGGATTCATTCACACCACGGGGGCTCCAGGCCTTTTCAGCCCCTCACTGTGGGAGCCCACTGGTCCGGCAGGCTGGCTTTGCGCTCTGCCCCCTCAGCCCTCCCAGCACCGAGGAGCCCGTCGTGAGGAACAGAGCCCCGGCACCCCACGCTGCCCACCGGGCGCTCATGGACAAGGCTGCCCAGCGTGTCCAGGGATCAACAGCCACCTCGCTGGGCTCTGACCACCCGAGCCACCTGTCAGGGCCAGACAGGTCGGGGGCAGAAAAGAGTTCACAAGGAGGGGCTTACACCTAAAGTCCTGAGACAGGAGATGAGGGGGGCACTGGGGTTGCTGGGATTCGACCGACCTGATCTTTCTGCTTTTCTGTAACCTCCACATGTTGTATTGTGGAGAAAACAATATTGCTTTAAAAAGAAGAGAACTCTTGGGACTTCCCTGGTGGCGCAGTGGTTAAGAATCTGCCTGCCGATGCAGGGGACACGGGTTCGAGCCCTGGTCTGGGAAGATCCTACATGCCACAGAGCAACTAAGCCCGTGTGCCACAACTACTGAGCCTGTGCTCTAGAGCCCGTGAGCCACAGCTACTGAACCCGTGTGCCACAACTACTGAGCCTGCATGCCTAGAGCCCGTGCTCTGCAACAAGAGAAGTCACCGCAATGAGGAGCCCGCGCACCGCAACGAAGATTAGCCCCCGCTCGCCGCAACTAGAGAAAGCCCGCGCGCAGCAACGAAGACCCAACGCAGCCAAAAATAATAAATAAATAAACAAAAAGCAGAGCGCTCTCTCAGAGGCCAACTCCTCCACGCCTATCTCTCCCCTTTTCTCCACCTGCCAGTGTGGCCGGCCTAGTGCGGAGGCCACAAAAGCAGCCCACAGCTGCAGGAACGGCTCTGGTACCCGGCCCTGGTACCGCTGGCTTGTGCGGAAGCCCGGCTAGGGCTCCACTCTGACCTCCAGCTCCTCACATGCAGGCCTTTATTTTTTTTTTTTTTATTTATTTTTTTTTTTTTCTTGCGTTATGCGGGCCTCTCACTGCTGTGGCCTCTCCCATTTGTGGAGCACAGGCTCCGGACGCGCAGGCTCAGCGGCCATGGCTCACGGGCCCAGCCGCTCCGCGGCATGTGGGACCCTCCCGAAACGGGGCACGAACCCGCGTCTCCTGCATCGGCAGGCGGACTCTCAAGCACTGCGCCACCAGGGAAGCCCCAGGCCTTTATTTTGACGTGATTTTGAAACACCAGTAGCCAAGGGTGAAAGATGCAGACTTCAGCCCCATTTCTCACACGAATCTCTAAGACACGGCACTGGGAGGAAGGGGATTCTCACATATTAGCAGCCTGTTTTCTCACTGAATTTTCACAAGACGGGTATGGCGAGCCCTGTTTTACAGGCTCTGAGGAGTTGAGAGTAACGTGCCTGGGTTTGCAGGGCTCATCAGTGGCCAAAGCAGGGTATGGACCCAGTTCTGAATGGTCCCACAGCCCACCTCGTTACCGCACTTCCTGTTCAGTCCACGAGGGCCCCGCTCCAAGACTCCCAGGACACTCAGTGTTTGTCCTGCTTTGGGGTCCTCTGCTCTGGTCCTGGTCCCATCAGTCAGGCCCAAATGCATTTTCACCCCACATCTGCTGCCCCTTGAGGCAGGCCTGGAGCCCTCACCGCTGGCTTCTGCACCTCTTGGAGCCCAGCTCTCTTCACTCATCCCTGAGGGCACAGCACCCTGGGGTCCAACCACCTGAGACCTATCTTGGAGGCCCTGGTACCTGGCTTGGGTCTCTGCCACCTTTGAGCCTTGGCCTTCTGTAACACCATTTTGCTGGGCAGCTCTGGGCATTATGGCCCTGTCAAGCCGAAAAAAAAAAAAAAAAAGCAAAACTTAAAAGTCAAGAATTATGTTTCTTTTTTGGCTGCGCAATGGCGTGGCATGTGGAATCTTAGTTCCAAGACCAGGAATCAAACCTGCGCTCCCTGCAGTGGAAGCACGGAGTCTTAAGCACTGGACCTCCAGGGAATTCCCAAGAATTATGTTTTATTTGGCAGATTTACTGAGGACTTAGGCCCAGGCAGATAGCTCTGAGGGACTGTTCCTAAGAGGTAAGGAAGGAGCCAGGACATACAGGAGTTTTGCAAAAAAAAAACAGGTAGTCAAAACATCAAAAGATAACTATTCATTTAAGAAAAACAGACATCTCAAGTTAATGAATTAAGCACTTTTCTATGTACGGGAAGATGCAAGAGTCTGGGCTCATTGAAATCATTCCTTTATGCACCTTAGCTCTCTAGGGCCAGTACCCTGTTTTCTCCATCCTGAATCCCCTCAGGGGGCACCGTTTGAGGGGTGGGCAGCAGCTGCAGTGGCTGATGGCTTCATGGCCACAACATCCTTTGTTACTGATATGGCAACCTACATTCTTTGTCCACAGCCCTCTGTAGGGACCCCCTCCCCCAGTCCCAGCCCTGAGCCCACCACCCAGCTGGATCCCAAGAAGTATGCCATTGGCCAAAGTGACCTCTGGGGTCCTGGGCCTCCTTCAGCTATAGAAAAGACTCATATTTTGGGGTCCAGATGAGGCACCAACCAGAGGGTGCAGAAGAGGTCTTGGAGCTATAGCCTGGATGACAAACCAAGAAGATCCTCATCCAGCCCTTCTGGCGGGGTGTCTCCACCAGAAGGGACCCTAGAGACTGTCAGTACAGGCATCGTGAACTGTATTCGTCTGTAAGATGACTCTGCAAGTGTTTGGGAAAACGATGAAAGTTTCATAATAAACAAACCATTAGGTGATGATGACAGTAAGACAGAGCCATGGGGACTGTGGTCCTTGTCCCACTTCCTGGAACAGAGCTCCTAAAACCCTTGGAACTTCCTGAGTGATAGGAGTGACTTTTATTATTCATAAGGAGTCCCTTTCAACCCCACCTGAGCTCATGCTAATGAGGTGACTCAGATGGGATCCCCAGAGAGCCACAGGATGGGGCTGGTCACCACAAAGACTAAACTGGTGATTTGAAGTTGGGAACTTTAAGCCCCACCCACGCCCACCTACAGGAGGTGAGAGGGCTGCAGATGGGGTCATACAAACTCTAGAGCAATGAGACCCGGAGCTTCCGGGTTGGTGACACACTGCTGTGCAGGGATGTGGTGCCCCTGGAGAGTACCCCCGCCTCCCAGCCACATACCTGGCCCCGTGCGTCTTTCCTGAATTGTATCCCTTATAATAAAGCAATAATCATAAACAGAGTGTCTTCCTGAGTTCTGTGAGTTGTTCTAGTGAACTACAGAACCTGAGGAGGGTTGCGAGAACCCTGTATTTGTAGCTGGACCCAGCAGAAGTGAAGGTAGCCTGGGTGCCCCGTCTGTGGCTGCTCCCAAGCGGGGCTAAGGCTCTTGGCCCTGGGGCCTGCACCACCTCTGGGCAGTTAGTGTCAGGAGTGGATTGGATTGCTGGACATCCAGCTGGTGTTGGAGAAAAGAGAAAAATTGTCTCCCTGCCTGCTGTTGACCTCGAGCCTGCCACTTTCCCTCTGGAGCTCAGCTTCTCCTTGGGACCTCAGAGTGGGGGAAGGTGCCCTGTGAGGACTCCCAGCCCCTACACCCTCTGCTGTGGCTTCCCAAGGGTCCGCACTGCTCCAGTTCCAAAATCTCTTTCTTGACTTTGAAGCCAAAGGGCCCTCAGAGGGGGGCTCTGGGGTCTCCCTGACACCAAAAAGGTGAAGCAAAGGCAAGAAGACAGAAGACCAAGCAGGGTAAGGCGGGTGGCTGGAGGCTCCCCATCCCTGCCGCGGTGCCGCCCCCTCACCTGCGCCACGCAGTCTGGGATCTCCAGCGCGCAGGGCAGTGTCCCAGCGCTCTCCACGGCCAGCACATCCTTCAGCAGCTCCTCACAGCCTGTGGATGGACAGACAGACAGATAGTGGAGGGTCAGAGACTCAGCCCAGCCCGGCAGCTTTGCTTCTTTTTTGCAGGATCTTAGTTCCCTGACCAGGGATCGAACTTGGGCCCTTGGCAGTGAAAGCACAGAGTCTTAACCACTGGACTGCCAGGGAATTCCCCGGGCAGCTTTGCTTCTGATGAGTAAGCCTTGGGTGGGTAGGGCTGCAGGGAGGCAGGGGCCCCAAGTCTCCAAGAGACCAGCTGATCATTCAGAGGCAGAGATGGGGCACCCAGTCTGCAGAGAAGCCAGTCCAGGGCTGGGCAGAGGGAGCGAGACAGGTCCTTGCCCTCCAGATGTTCTTCCACTGGGACTAACAGCATCAGGGAACACACAGAAGACAGACTCCCAGTTGCGGAGGGGAGGCTGGGGCAAAGAGAATCCAGGAGGCCTTCCTGGAGGAGGGCATATAAGAACATACTCCCTGTCTGGCTCACAGGGACTCCAAACACACACAGTCCAGGGCTGCGAGGCTGAGGCCCTCTGCAACCCTGCGAACTCCAGAACATGGAAGGCCACCTTCAGGATGGCGCCACTTGCTGCTGACTCATTACACAGCTGGCCTCCCTCCCCTGAACAAATGCCCCCAAATCGTAACGGACAAAGGAGGTGTGATATTGTGATTTATAAGAAAATACGTATTTGGCCTTCATTCACAGTTTCTAACTCACAGCTCCCAAAACCCTCAGAATTTCCTAAGTGTTGAGAGTGACAAAGGTATCTTTTTATGTTAATGAGGTGACTTGTGGACCCACCTAAGGATGGGGGCTGGTTGCCAAGAGAACCAACCAGGTGATTAGAGGGCTGGACCTTTCAGTCCCAACCTCTGACCTCTGATCTCCAGGGAGCGGTGAGGGCCCGGAGGTTGGCTCAATCACCAATGTCCGATGATTTAATTGATCACGACTATGATGAAGGCGCCACAGAAACCCAAAAGGACCAGGTTCAGAGAGCTTCCGGGTTGGTGAACACATGGAGATCTGGGGAGAGTGGTGCCCTCTGAGAGAGCATGGCTGATCTGCACCTTTCCCCATACCTTGCCCCAAGCACCTCTTCCATCTGGCTGTTCCTGAGTCGTACCCTTTTGCAATAAGCCGGTAATCTAGTAAGTAAAATCTTTCTCTGAGTTCTGTGAGCTGCTCCAGCAAATTAATCCAACCCAAGGTGGGGGTCGTGGGAACCTCTGATTTACAGCCAGTTAGTCAGAAGCACAGGTAACAGCCTGGGCTTGTGACTGGCGTCTGAAATGGGGGTGGGGAGACAGTCTTATAGGACTGAGCCCTTAACCTGTGGAATCTGATGCTACCTCCAGGTAGACTGTGTCAGAATTGAGCTGAATTCTCCTCGGACACCCTGCTGGTGTGAGAAAATTGTTTGTTTGTTTGTTTGTTAGCATGGGAGGAACCCCTCACCTCCACACATTGGAACTGATCTCAGAACAGCAAACAGGAGGTCAGACCCGCAAAGCGCCAGCACAGGGACATGCCGGGCACAGTTAGTGGCGGCCCTGTTGAGTCAAACAACCCCATTCAGAAACCTTTCCTGGGGCTGCCGTGCATAGTGCCCCCAACCTCTCTGCTCACTTCCTTTCGCCCCTCACTTCTATGCAAGGAATTCCTGCTTCCTTCCCACCCTCCCATACTCTGAGGGACCCCACAGGGAAGGCTTCGTGCTGCTCTGAGCCACATAGACAGGGAAACATGGCATCCTCCACAGATTACAGTAAGGCCCTGGGACTTCCAGACGTAAACTGTGTTTTCCTCACAGGCTGGTGAGCTGGACCACTCTCTCCAGATGAACCGTTCAGTAGCGAGTGGCCACACTCTGATTCCTGCAGGCGTCTCATAACTTTGAGTGGGGGGAAAACGAGAGGGATTTTTACATTCCCCCCTAAATGGAAGAAAGGAAGGAATTCGGAGGAGTTAGGAGAAGGGAGTGGGGAGGAAACAAATGAAGGAAATTCGGAACAGAGGCAGGGAGATGAGGGGACCAGCTCTGTCCAGGTTTGCCTAGAACTGTCCTGGTTCAAAACTGAAGCCTGTGTTTTGAGAAACTCCTCAGGAGTCTGATCATCCTTCAGGGAGATGAGTTCCCTCAGGAGATGGAGGGGGAGGGGAGGGGAGGGGAGGGGAGGGGACGGGGGTATCTGAGACTGAACAGCCTCCCGGCCTCTAAGTGAGAACACAACCGCTACCTGCGTGAACAATGACTGTATTCTCCCTTGCAAATTAGGTCTAGCAGGTACCTATAGGGCTTTACATATTTAAATTACTCAGTCTAGGATAATCATAAAAATCAGTAACAAATCAAAATAATCCTGGAGAACTATTCCCTGAAAGGGGAGGGGAGGGGACGGATGGGAAGGGAAGGGGGCCGTTCTCGGGAAAGGGACAGACAACGGGAAGGGTAGAAATGCCTGGCTGCAGGTGTGGGACCGCATGACAGAGGTTCAGTGACACCCAGAGCCCCTCACCAGCGGGCACAGCTGTGGGAGCCCAAGTCCCTTCCCCTTGGCCCCCCTGGGGGAGTCAAAGGCAGAGCCTACTTCTGGAGCCCATCCTGGGCTCCTGGGACCCCCGTAGGGGGAATCTGAGCTGAAACCCAAGCCATGCCAGCCTCCCCAGCCAGACAGGATCCTGGGAGCCCCTAGGACCCCCCTCCCCCCAGAAGACCTCACCTTTCATGGCGAACACCCCTCGGCAAAAGTCCTTGAAGTTGATTCTCCCCAGGTCGTTGGGATCCAAATACTTCACAAGTTTTTCCACCTGTGGAAAGGAAGGAGGGACAGGTGTGAGGCTCCCAGAAATGCCCCCAGAGAGTTCACAGAGCTGGCCTGAGGCTGGCCAGGGAGGCCGGGAGGGAGGGAGGGTTTGTCACTTGAACCAAGGGGACGCCAGCAGTCCCCTTCCTAGCCCTGTCCCCCTCGGCGGAGTCAGTGCCAGCCCCAGACAGCGGCGGGGCCACTTTATTCTGAGGTCGACAGATGGCACGAGTGAGGAAAATCAAACCCATCACCGCAGTGCTCAGAACCTGGGTTTGTTTGGCCTGAGCTTCCGTCTCCAATTTATTTCTCTAAGACTGGCACGTGGAAAACAAACACTGATTTTTTTTTTTTAAACTTAGCAGTTTCTTTCATACAAAAATAATACAAATTCACTGCAGAAACTCTAGAAAAGACAATGTATCAAAACCCTCCCCTTGAGCTTCCCTGGTGGCGCAGTGGTTAAGAATCGGCCTGCCAGTGCAGGGGACACGGGTTGGAGCCCTGGTCCGGGAAGATCCCGCATGCCGCGGAGCAACTAAGCCCGTGCGCCACAGCTACTGAGCCTGTGCTCTACAGCCCGCGAGCCGCAACTACTGTAGCCACAGCTACTGAAGCCCACGCACCTAGACCCCGTGCTCTGCAGCGAGAAGCCAGGACAACGAGAAGCCCGCGCACCACGATGAAGAGTAGCCCCCACTCACAGCAACTAGAGAAAGCCCGCGCACAGGAATGAAGACCCAATGCAGCCAAAAATAAAAACAAATTAATTAATTAATTAATTGAAAACAAAAACGAAAACCCTCCCTTTTCCCACTTTTCTTTAAAACACATAGTTCTAACCACTTTTTTTTTTCTAGTTCTGAGACACCTTTGATCTACAGGGAGGAAATAATTATGTGACATACGTATCCATTATTTAAAAATTACAAATTACAAATCAAGATTTAAGGCAAAGCCAATTATGGTCAAGATAGCAGCTACGTCTGCAGGACTGCGCAGGAGGAAGACACCAGGGTCGTATCTCTGTCTTGATCTAGGGTCTGGCTACACAGTGAAAACTCACTGAGCTGTCCGCTTGTGGCCAGTGCACTTTTCTGTCCTATTTGTACCTTATACTTCAATAAAAAGTGTTAAAAAAATAAATTCGTAAATAGGTGTAGCCCAAAGGAATCTGCCATTCCTGATGTTGGGAAGTTTCTCCCCTACTTAACAGTATATCAGAAACACCTCCCCTCCCTGCCCAGTGGGTACCACTCGCATTTTTAGTGGTTATAAATATTCTGCCCAGTAGATATACCATAATTTACTTATTAACCACCCATAATAGCTGGGCATTTTGGTTATTTCCAACTTTTTGCTGTTCCAACTCATCCTTGGGGGGTTCTACAGCTGTGCGAATGACCAGTGGACTGCCTGGCCTTTTAGAACCTTGACTTCCTGTTGTTACATATCCCACCTCAGCCACCCAGGCCCCTTGGCCACAGTGAGGACCCAGGCATCACTGTTGCTTGTCCCTCCTCCAACATCACTCACTCAAATGTCCTACTCCCTGACTGCATACTTTTTCCCTTCCCACCAAACTCCTCAACATGGCCTACAACGCCATGTATTTTCTGGCCCCTCCAGCCAAATCTCCTCCCACTGTTTCTTTCACTCACTGCATTCTAGCCACACCGGCCTTCAGTCAGCTCCTCAAGCAAGCCAAGCTCTTTTCTGCCTCAGGGCCTTTGCACATACTGTTCTCTATATCTCAAATGCTCGTCCTCCCCATTCATCATCTGGCAATGTCTGTTTATCCCACAGGTCTCCATTTGTACCTCTAAGAAATGTTTCTCCCGGACAAGCCTGTCCTGCCCATCTAATTAGGGCCTACCCCACTGCTACCCTGCCTTGTAGCACCCTATACTTTTCTTTCAGAGCCATTTGTTGCAATAAGTAATTATAGGTTGATGTGATAATTTTATTAATTTGTAGCTCCCCCCCAGCCCTCTGGAAAGTAAGCTCCTTGAGATCAAGGATCGTGTTTATTTTGATCACCACTGTATACCTTGTAGCTCCCACCATTACTGGCATGTAATAGAAGCTTCATAAATTTTTTTTTTTTTTTTTTTTTTTTTTCCAGACATCTAAGTTTTTAAGCCTTTTGATAACAGTTGCCAAATTGTTCTCTGCAAGGATGTCTCAATTTAGTCTTTGTTCAGAGAATCTGACTTCAAACTTGTGGGCTCTGGGTATTTTTTCCTAGTTTTTGTCAATGGCCGATTTTGTCAGAACCCGTTTTTTCCCCCTGAGAGTTCCAATACCTGAAATGCAGCCTCTTGATATTTCTTCCAGAAGCCCACTTCTAAATCAACCCGTAATTTAGTGGCAGCCCCTCTACCGCACACCTGCAAGCATTCGTTTACTTATTTATTCAGTAAGGACGACTGGGTACCGCCTATAAGCCGGGCACTCTGCTGGGGGGTGATGGTAGTTGCTGGCCCCTCTGGCTAATCACACACGGCCACGTGGACACACACATGCACGCACTCTCACATGCTCGTGGCCAGGCACCTTTCCCCTCCCCACCCCCGTAATCACCATCGGTATCTAAAGCACAGTCGGGCAAGGATGAGCTCTTTCCCAGACTCCTTTGGGGCTGGGTTGCAGGTGGAGGGTATGCAAGCACTTTGGAAACTGTAGACATAGCATGTAG